CTTCCTTCTCATTAAGAAACAAATATTTAGCATGAATTTATGTATTTATTACATCAATATGTATAGACACCCATCTTGCAATCATGACTCCAGACAGCAAACATAGGAGAAAAAAACCAAAACTAATGAATAGTAGCATGAACAGTGACACAATAATAATATAATCACTGTTATTAAAACAGAAGTAGATACTAGCATATGTCTGCCAAGTAGTAAAGTATTTGTCCTGTGGTATGAGAGTATGTCTGGCTTCAATGGGAAGTACAGAAGACAGTTGCTACTCTTTCACATCTTATTGCGAAGATATCCAATTATAGGTTAGAAAAAGTTCACAAAATCTAATGTTTCTTTTCCAGCATCAAGATGCTGACCTTACATAGGTACAAACTCTATACAATTATAGAACAGTTATATGATCAATAAAGTTCTTCCAAATTGATTCAGTGTTGTGTTGAATTATTCAACGTACAGCGAATACCACACCTAATCCTTGCAATGTTCTCCTGTTTTTTCCCCCAAAGGGGGGGGGGAAGCTTGAGCCCAGGCATATTTATCCAAAAATGAATCTATTAGAGTCCCCAAGTGATGGTATCTTTAAAGATTAATGATAGATTTTTACTGCTAAATTTGGTGGCTGCTCTTAAAAAGCAGAGTAAAAAGCTAAGACTTCACTCTGATTGACCATATGTGGTTGGCTTATTGTCCCTACTGATACATTACAGCAGTAATTCTCATAGTGTTGTCTGGAGACTCCTGGGACTCCCTGACTTTCAGGGGATCTGCAAAGTCAAATATTTTAAAATTTTAATTTCTAATAAAGTAAATTTTAAATAGACATAACCCACATAAATCAAAGCTCTTTGGGGTCCTCAATCATTTTTAAGAATGTAAAGGGATCCTGAGATAAAACATCTCAGATCTGCTGCTGTAATGTATCCTGCTGATAAATAAGCCAAAGACATCCAGTCAGTTTGGCAATGTCTTTAACTTATTGACCATTAGACTAGCTGGAGTAGGGTTTAAAGTAGCTCGTTGATTTTGCAGCTATAAATTAATTTTCAAAAGCAAATTGGAAATGTTAATGTCCATGTTTTAAATTTTATTTTCAGAATAAATTCCAGCTTCTAGAATTTGTACTGAATTTGATTTAAAGTATACGAGAGCTTTTAATAGCCACAAATTTCAAATCAGCCTCCAATGATCTGGTTGGAGTGACATGATACAAAGGCTAATGGGACTCTTATTCCTTATATGACAACTTTTCTTATTGCAGTTTGCTGAATGTTGGTTTCTGAAATTCTTCCTTGTATATACAGCTGACAGAAGAACTATCCTTTTTGCCCTCTGCATTTGGCTCTCAAAATGTCTGAATGAAAAGAATTATGGTTCATATATAAAACAAAGCTTCATTTAGCTAGATTCACACAGCACATCAAATCATAAACCATTGTTTACAAAACACAGTGACTGTATTAGCACCACATATTACTTTTTAACCAAAGCACTCAATGCCTAGAATGTTATGACAGTGAGGTAAAATGAGGGACATAATTGAAGATTTGGTAAGGAAACTGAGCTTTACAGCTGCTCTCAGTTACCTGAACCATGTAATTTTAAAATATATTCATAACTAGGCAAAGTTGATTAGATATAAGGTTATAATCTATATTTTCAAAGTGAAGACATGCATCCATACCAGCAAATTCAAGGGACACTTTCTGAGCCCAGTAATACGTATTCTTACTTTCATCCTGCCTCTAGCAGTTGACCCTTTACAATTACTCCTTGACTTTAAAGAGGTATGTAGTAAATCTGCTCAAGTAGTAAATCTGCCCAAATAAGGACTAAAGGTGAATATATTCCATTTACATTTAATAAAATATAACAAGTATCTTCTTTATTCAATATATTGTCACAGTCAAAAAATGTAATTTTATAAAGTGAAGAACAGGAATGTCTGGCCCAGGATAAAAAAAAAAGAAGAGGAGGAGAGGGGAGAAGAGAGAAGAAGAAGAGAAGAAGTGAAAGAAAACTAGACTGTCTAAGCTAGGGGCTGAGGATCAGACAAAGACAGCATCATAGCAAATCATTACTAGGGATATTCCTTCGGCAGTTGGTGGGATGAGGCTATAAAATACCTTTGGTTGACTTAGCCTTAGCATCACTGACCACCACAGCAGCGGTCCCCAAAACAGCTTCATGCATACATGAGTGCCCGCCACTGGCGCAAATGGAGCTGAGCGCATGCGCTCACCCACTTGCACAGTGCAGGGTGGGGGAATTGGGAACACCTGATTTGGAAGGAAGGCCAAGCCTAGCAAAGACTGCACTGTCAAAGCAATCTTTGAAAAATCTTTCAGGACCAGCTCCTTGCCAAAACTATGGTCACAAGCCACGGTCATCCCCATCTTCAAAAAGGGAGACCCCAGCCTAGTTAAAAATTAACAGACCAATCTCCTTATGCTTCGTCACCTGTAAAGTCGTGGAATCAATTATTAACCAATCCATCATCCTCCACTTAGAAACAAACAACCTACTCTCTAATAAACAAGTTGGTTTCAGAAAAAAACTATCCTGTAATCTGCAACTCTTACACTGCAAAAATATATGGACTACACAACTCGATCAGGGCAAAGCAATAGACGCAATCTACATAGGCTTCTGTAAAGCCTTTGATTCAGTGGTACACGACAAACTACTGCTAAAACTAAAATCTTATGGTATCTCTGGACACCTACATAACTGGATAGAAGCATTCCTGTCAAACAGACAACAATTGGTCAAAATTGGGAGTGTCCTATCAAATTCTGTACCTGTCAATAGTGGTGTCCCCCAAGGCAGTGTTCTAGGACCAACTCTCTTCATATTCTATATAAATGACCACTGTGATCATATTAAGAGCAACTGCATTCTCTTCACTGATGATGTAAAGCTATTCAACACCACAGACAATACTACTACCCTCCAAAAAGTATCAGAATGGTCAATCAAATGGCAACTTCAAATCACAACAAACAAATGCTCTGCCTTACATATTGGCAGAAAAAAACCAGAAAATAAAATACAAGCTAAATAGTCAAGACCTTGTTGATGATCCAAACTTTGTCAAGGACCTTGGAGTACTCATCACTAATGATCTAAGTGCTAGAGCCCACTGTAACTACATAGCCAAAAAGACATTAAGAGTTGTTAATCTAATACTACGAAGCTTCTTCTCTGGTAATATCATACTACGAACTAGAGCATACAAAACATTTGCTAGACCTATACCTGAATACAGCTGATCAGTCTGGAACACATAGCATGTATCTGATTGAGAAAGTCCAGAAATATTTCACAAGAAGAGTTCTCCACTCCTCTACTCATTGTAGAATACCTTATGCCACCAGACTCGAAATTCTAGACCTAGAAAACCTTGAATTACGCCGTCTTCGGTCTGATCTAAGTATGGTATATAAAATCATACATTGCAATGTCCTACCTGTCAATGAATACTTCAGCTTCAACCATAACAACACAAGAGCACACAATAGATACAAACTCAAGGTTAACCGCACCAAACTTGATTGCAGGAAATACGACTTCAGCAACAATGTCTGGAATACTCTACCTGACTCTGTGGTTTTTTTCCCCAAACCCCAAAAACTTTAACTTTAGACTGTCTACTATTGACCTCACCCCTTTCCTAAGAGGTCTATAAGGGGATTGCATAAGCGCACCAACGTGCCTACCATCCCTGTCCTATTGTTTCTTTTATTTTTCTTATATGTATCCATTTCATGTATTCATAACTATGTATATATTTATACCTATTCTCTTGTAAGCGATTGACAAATCAAATACTAAAATACTAAAAATACTTATCACTCACGAGATTTCATCCACTTGGTTTTTGTCTGCTAGAACAGAGTTCCCCCTCAAGCTTTCCGGCTTTGCGGACCGGCGTCGGAGGGGCAAAAGGGATGGTTCCGCGCGAGCGGCTGGCAAGCGGGCGCACAGCCCCATTTGCACGAGCAGCGGTGCCCGCGCGCCTGCCGCTCATGCAAATGAAACGCGCCCGCGTGTGCCAGCCCGCTGCTCGTGCGAGTGAGGATGCGCGCTTGTGCTCGACCGCCGTTTCCCCAGCCCAGTTGAAAAAAAAAAAAACACCACCTCACTGCTCAGAGGTTGGGACCCGCTGCTTCTACGGTATTTTAACATCACTCTGACGGGGAAAATAAAGTCTTTTGATTTTGTGTATATGAGATATATTCTTCATATTTGTATGTATAACTGTGAGCGACGGTGTCCGCCTTTAATCTCAGAGGAATCTTTTTTCTCGGCAACGACGGCTGCTGTGACGGGGAAAACTAAACGTGAAGTAAAGGCTTCCTATTAACATTTCAAATTCTCCATCGGACCCTTCTTCGTGCGGCTCGCGGCCATAAACGTACGCGTAACCGTCCCGAGTCGCCTAGCAACCACGAACGCCCGAACTGCATTCAAATCGGCAGAGGCAATGGAGTAAACAAAAGCACATGGGCAGCGACGACGGCGAATCCCCGAGCCGGAAGGTTTGTTACGCCACCAATGGAATGTGAGAACTGACACTGGGCTGCATTGTGAGGCGGAGAAGATTCGGGTCGCTAGGAGGAGCGAGAGACGCCCTCTTCTATCCCGGCTTTAACTAGCGGGTGTATGGAAGGCTTCCGTAAATCGGATCCCGTTCGTGAACAGAACAGAATAGTCTTAAGAATATTAGAGAAGAAAGCATAGTAATAATAGTCCTAGGCTGCTTTTTTAGGATGAGAATTTGCTCTTTTTGTTCTGCCGCAGAAAAAGAATCAATCTTGTGAAGGAGAAAGAGTGGTAGAAGTGCTTTCCTAACCAGAAGGTTATTTTTTCTAAGAGTCAGTATATGAGCAACAGATTTATATAGTTACATTGAAAAACAGATTTTATATATTTATTTTTTTAAAGAATTTTTCAAGCAATTGTCCCACTTAGAATTCGTTACCAAAATGTCTATCAAAGTCACATTATATGAATTGGCAGATCTCTCCATAGGGACCCCGGAGGTTGGCATTATCAATTTCAATGCCCTCCATGCTCTCCTCCATGCTATCATCAGCTACCTCAACATTCAAGATATCAAAGCAGATGTAAAGATGGACAGAGGTCCTCCAACCAAGCCAGAGATGGCCTTGCTTTCTGCTACAACAGAGGCAGAACCTAGTGATTTATTGGGCCAGGAGGCATTGCCAAAAGAGAAGGAGGACAAGGGAGGCACTTTGAGAGAGGAGCCGGATTCTCGGTTTGCTGACTTGGAAAAGAAACTAAAGCTGATGGATACCAATCTCCGTGGTGTGAAAGGTCAGATTAAAGGGATAGAAGGCCAGGTCCACGGGGTATTAGGTCACGTCCAAGAAGTAGAAAAGCAAGTCAGTGGGGTGCAAAATCAAATTCATGGAATACAAGATGAAGTCCAAGGGGTGCAAGATCAAACTCAAGGAGTGCAGGATAAAGTGAAAAGAATGGGGAAAGACCTCATAGGGGTTGAAAAGCAGATTGCTGGACTGGAGAAGCTTCCTTCGGGGATTGAACTGCTAGAGAAGACCCAAAGTGGATCCGGCACAGCTGTATCTGACATGTGGCAAATGATGCAGATGCAGAAAAAGATTGAAGCCAGTGAGAACGGAATCAACCAGGTAGGTCAACTTTCAGTCTAGTAATTAAAATGTTAGCAAAATGGAGCCTTATATGGACTCCCAAACAAATACATATATAAATTTTTTAAATCATAGCTGACAATTTGCATTGGGACCTTAATTGTAAGGGGTGCATAATGTCTTTCTTTAATAATACACTTTACTGTATTTCAAAGCACATTGTGATTATCCCACTGGAACATTCCGGAATCATATAATCTGCATGTATTGTGAGATAAATGAACCACAACAAAAATGTTGTGCTATCAGATCATGCTCTCTGGTTCCAAATTTCTAATATCAATTCCATTTGGGTTGGATGTTTGCTTCATTCACACTGTAGCTGTTTTTTGAATTAAGAATATACTAGTAACTTTAGTTTGTAAAGCCAGTGTATGTTTTCTGGTGTGCAATAGGCTGAGGTTTTCCATTTGTTGGAAAAAAAATAAAAACAGTATGAAACTAAGAACCCCACCTCCCCGAATGACATTCTTTTGGAACTAAAAAGGAAAGAACCAGAGCCATGAGGCAAGAAATTGGGAAAAGTTGAGTTTATAGGTATTGGCTGGGCTAATGCTTTTATACCAGCATCCTCTTTGTAAATGAAAACAGTAATGGTTTTTAATAAAATACAGACATCTGCAAGAATGAACTTGACACAATAATGGCACAACACAATACCTTGTCATAACATTGGTAAAGGGAATTCTTGCCAACAATATTTGGGAGATTAAAATTAGATAATATTCAAGCAGGAATGTCTCCTTTACATACACAGTAAAAACCCAACAAGGCAAATTTAGACTACTAAATAGAAACAAGCAATAAATTTCAAAATTCAGTGTAAAGTATAGATACCAAAGTGTAGTCTTGTTTGGGAAAACAGATTGGATGGAGTGGGAGAATTTATAGCAAGTTTTTTCATAATTCTTTTCTCTATATTCAGTCGTTGATCTTTTGTTTCTCTTACTTATTTTTCTTTTTTGTATATCATTATCTCAAGATTTTTTTTAAACAAAATAATGGCTATCTTGATGTGGCAGTTGCAAGAATGAGAAAAAACATGTAAGTGGAAATTTCAAAGACTGTATGATGGAGCTTGCTTATGATTGTTTTGAGCCGATTTGGAGAAATCCAAGAGGAAGACTATACTGGTGACCATCCACTGAGAATCAAGTAAAAGGATAACATAGCTTAATTGACTAATCAAGAAAAAGATTATGTTTACCCAGTTTTATTATATCATTCTTTGGAATGAATTTTACATGTGGTTCTTTATTACCAGTTTCTCTAGATACAGGGTTATTTAAAATTTGATAATTGGTAGCATTCAGGTAGCAAAAAACACTGATCTTGACATATAGATCTTTCTGGTTTATAAGAAAAAACATTATTTCATTTTTCTTTTTGGGATGATCTGATCATCCCAATCTTTGCTAGTCCAGTGCCCTCTAGATATGATGGATTATAATACCTGTCCTTCCAGACTCAATATGGCCATTAGTTATCCTGGGTAAGAATTATTGGAACTGTATATCAGTTATACAGACTTATAAATAAGTCAAAATTCATTTAACACAACAATAGTCCTATTTTTTAAAAAAAAAGTTTACATGCAAAAAAAAAAGCAGTAAGGAAGAGAGTCCACCCCCATGCTAATCAAAATTAATTTGACACCTTTTTGTGCCTTAAAAGCTAATCAATTTATTATGGAATAAGTTTATGTGAACTTTTGTCCTCTTCACTAGATATGTGAAACATCCTTCTTTCCTTCAGTTAGCAATAGCACTAGCATTTAGATTTATATACCACTTCATAGTGCTTTACAACCCTCTCTAAGCAGTTTACATATTCAGCATATTGCAACCAACAATCTGGTACTCATTTTACTGCCCTCCGAAGGATGGAAGGCTGAATAAACCTTGAGCCAGTCAACCTTGTGCCATTTAAAGCAATTATGTGGCTGCCCAACTTAAGATAATGTGACTCTGGGCTGTATACAAAAGAAAGAAACAACACTGGCTTGAAGGTACCAAAAAAATCAAGGTAACATATTTTCTCAAAATATGAATTATATTGGAAGAAGCATGATAAATAAATTCATATCTTTGAAAAACAGATTGTGTTAACTTTTAACTTTGTTGTTTCTTGCATAACTACTTATCTAGCTGAATGTAATTGCTCTGCCAGAGACCTGAGAATCTAAGGGATTCAGATCAGGCAGGCAGGTATCTATTACAATTAAAGAATAACTCTGACAGATATAAACCTGGGAGTATGCCAGTAATGCCTGTTCACCCGTATCCTCCCTAGTCATCTTTTTTTCTTAATTAGAACTGCTGAATCAAAAATAGTTTAACCTCAAGCTGAAGTTATTCCAAGAATGGCTCCCCACAGAGAGAAGTCATGCAACAGGTCACTACCAGAGTTGTAGCAATGCATTCCATCTGTAGGAAATTTCCATTTGTTTTAGAGGCTTCTGCCAGGATGCCCTGATGAACCAGGTGAGATGGATAGGGAAGTTGCTCCTCCTCTTGCTGTTTAGAAAGTACCATATTTCTTTTGGTGCTGAAATCCCAGAATTTTATATCACTAGTAGTGGGAGACATTTGCAGGACTAGTCCTACAATTAGGCAGAATGTGGCCGTGGTTTTAATTTGTAGAAACCATAGTCTTCCTAAACAGCCTTACAAGTAGTTCTCATTTAGTAACTGCTTCAATTATAGACCATTCACTTTCAGCAGTGATTAAAAAAGTAAGTGTACGACCTTTGTAGATCTACAAATCAAAGCTGAAGTAAGATCATAAGCACAGTTGCAATTTTACTCATTGACTGCTTCTCTTAATGACCGAGTAGCCAGTCCAATTGTTGTCGCTAAACAAGAACTACCTTTACTAATTTTTATCTCCTGAAGATACAGATGTTTTCTGCTTTCTTATCGAACCTCCTATGGTTCCCCTGAATATGGAAATGAAACAGATTAGAAACCATTCTTAGTTGATTCTACCTTCTGATGTCCAGAAATATCTCCTGCTGCATTCTAGAATATAAGAGTCATTCTTCCTATTAGAAATCTTCTGTATAATAAGGCCCTACTGTAATATTAATTAACAGAACAATAATTTTACTATTTTTGCAGTTTTACCATTTTAATAATAGTAATTAATTATTATTAACATTAATATTAATGCAGTTCAGAAGAAGAAATTGATGTGTAATTGCATAGGCAAATTAAAGTCTTTACATGGCACTTAAGAGAGGACTCACCTTGAGTAACCTCATTTTCCTTAATCCCAATTCTATTCAGTGAAATTGATTCCCAAAGAAGCGAGTAGTTGTGCAAGCTGAACCTTGGTTTCCACTTTACAAGGCTTTTGGGTGTACATTGAAAAGTTCTATGTTGTGGGGAAAGATATAAAGATATATATATATGGGTCTTTGGTTGTTCGGGTTTTCTCCCGCGTAAGATTCGAAGTATCTAGGCAACGTTTCGATGAAGTCTCATTCATCATCTTCAGGCTTCTGTCTTCAGCTCTGTGCTTCTCAGAGTGATGTGAGATTGCAGCTGCTTCTTCCTTCCACCACCACCCAGCACAGATCAATTCCGTAGCCGAGACACTCATCTCCAGAACAAAATGCTTAGCCGATGAACAACACCAAAAAACCGAACTACACACTCTCACCAATGTACTAACAGCCAATGGATTCCAAAGAAAGAAGATTACCCACCTAATCCAAAAAGAAACCCCAACCAAAATCCAAGACAGAGAACAAGAAAACGGCAAAGCCCTCCTCCCATATATAAAAGGCACTACAGACAAAATCAGCAAGATCCTCCAAAAACACAACATTAAAACAGCATTCTGCACAAACAGAAAAATATCCACCATCCTAAGAAACCCCAAAGACAAAATCAAATTAGAAAACCAAGGAGTATACGAAATCCCCTGCACTGCCTGCCCCACCACATACATTGGACAAACTAACAGAAGAATAAGTGCACGCATTGAAGAACATAAGAACTCAATCAAAAAAGAAGAAACGACCTCTTCCCTGGTCCAACACCTCAAAACCACAGGACATGAGATTGACTTTAAAAATACCAGAACCATCGCCAAAACCGAACACTTCAACAGCAGAATAATCAGAGAAGCCATAGAGATAGAAAAACGCCCACACAGCATGAACAAACGAGATGACACCTCCCGCCTTCCAGCCATTTGGAAACCCGCCCTCATGAACAGACGAGTACCTAACATGAAGAATGACACCAGACCCACACCCATGAGAGCCACACAAGATGCCACCACCACACTTCCATGTAGAAAACAGACTCACACCCACTCAGAAGATGAGACACGACCATGGACCAGAAGCCGCACTGCAGCTGCATCACTACCCACTTCAAACCCCTCCGAGCCATACATGAAGCAAACCGACACCCACTATGAAGATGCAGCACGACCACGAACTCGAAGCCAAACAGCAAGATCACAGCTCACCAACTCAAATCCCCCAGCAACTAAGACTAACCTGAGCACAACTAAGCCCCCACCTGAACAGAACATGCCTCCAGCCAATCAGAACACGACCAACCCCCC